ATTTGGTCTGTAACTTTTTTCCTGATACATTTGACTTGATATTCATTTTAAGTGGCCTTTGGTTTTTTAAAGTCATTTAAATGATATACTTCATTGTTAAATGTCATTCTAATAATGGAAATACTAAACTATGACAGGTTTCAAAGAATGTTTCAAATACTAAGTCTGGAGGTAACAGCTTTATTACTGCTTGATGACTTGACCCATATTTCCTAACATGATTTCCCTGCTGTAACTTTAAGTGAGTTCATGTAAGTCTAATGATATCAGTTGACCTTGAGAGTTAAACCCAAAAGCCTGTGGGGGGTTTTAGTTTCTTGCACTGTTGTTAAACATTATCTTTTTTTAAATGGAGTACTTAAAAACTTCCAATATACTAAAATATATACGTGTACAATTTATTTAAAAAAACCAATATTTTTCCAGTCACTTATGAATCTCCAAATAGTGTGTTTTACAATATAGATGCATAGTGCAAGAATTAAACAGTATCAAAAACAATTTTGATAATACCTTCTATAACACACGTGGTGGTGGTAAGTGGAAAGGCTGTGTGATAATGGTTATCAGACACCTTTGGCCAACTCACCAGCACTAATCAGTCTCATCTGGGACTACTTCAAACATTCAAACCCCTCCAGACAGCAGCCATTTATTTTTATTTTTAAACAACTTGCCTGTTTCCTCCTGTCTCATAAATGTGGAATTTCCCACAGAATTACATTTGCCTGAAGCATAGGAACAATTTAGGAACAGTGACAAGTTTAAAGTCAGATATCTATCTTGAAACCCATCAGACTAGAAAATGAAACTTTATATCAGCCAGTGTAATGGGGATGTTGCCAGCTTTCCAGTGCATAAGCCACTGGCTTTTAGCTCTGAGATGCCAAATATTAAAACTTGCTTTGAGTCCTTTAAGAGCAAACCTTAAAAAAATCACATTATTCTGCATAGACAATCTATTGTAATCACATTTTAGAGGTTTCTAAAATGTATTTGAGAACATCTTTCTATCATTCTGAGGCCTGTATCATTGGATTAAGGCACAAAGAGAATCTGACTTTACAAGTTGAGGGATATAAAAATTTTGAAAAACTCCTTCAAACAGTTTCTAAAATGTTTTTTCTGTAAAGGATGTGGAATGCATAGAATATGTGACTGTATGGTATAAAGATTGTACCAGCACTGCTAATGTATTTGAATAATTTTCATGTGCCTTTACCACTTGTAAGTAATGTGGCCATTCCAAGTTGATGTTGATACAACCTTCATGTTCCACCATCATGCCTTCTCTGTTTCCCATGGTGTGGCTGCCACTGATACAGGCAAATAGGCATGTTTCCAGCACCTCTAGGCATGGCAGTCCATAGCCAGGCACCTCTGGGCTTGCTGCATCACTTATGAATATAAAAAAAATTGCTTGAACCCCGGCACCTCTTTCATTACAAATTAAGCACTGTGTGTTTCTATCATCTGTGCATCAGACTGGGGGTACTCAGTCAGGATACAGAAATTTTCATGTCCACTCCAGCTGCTTCTCACCTCCCTGCAGCCAGACTCCCCAGTTGATTCTTGCCTGTGCTGAAGAAGCAGCAGGTGCCTCATGCTGAGGTGGCATCTTGAACCTTTTCAACCTGCTTCATTCTTCAGCTGGGAAAGAAAAAGAAGTTGGCCAGGAACTGACTGCAACTCTACTCTCCAGCACTTTGTTGTGGGCATTGTATGAACATGGGGCACTGAGTCCTCTTCGCAGATGGTCACTGGTTCACCTGAGGCAAGGCTGATAAGGGCACTTTCACGACGCTTCAGACACTTGGCACAGGGCTGGACAAATCTCTTAGCTGCCCCGCCCCTGAGGTAGAAGAAAGAGGAGGAAAGCAGTGTCAAGGAGGAGGCTGTCCAGCCCAAGGTAAGGGGATCCTTTTACCCCTTTCTGTGCCCCCACTTGGAAAACATGTGGTTCCAGAGGCCATTACCTGTATCAGCTAGGCATATGGAGCTTCCCTCATAGGTGGCCTTTTCTCTTTTTCACCTAAAATCTTCCTAACTGAAGGCCCATTTTCAGCTCTCTGTCTCACCTATCTGCTTCCGATCTTGTCCCCGACTTCTCTGTCATGGGTGTCACTTCGCTGTCTCCTTTGCCTCTTTAAATGGGATAAACTGGTTAAGGAGGGGAAGTAGACTTTGATTCCCAGATCTAGATTTGCTTTCTCCCTGTCCCAACCCTATTCCTTTATCACTAAATCCCTGGAAGGTCTTGCCAGACCAGTGGGCCTATCTGGTTTCTCGTATGGCACTGACTTCCAAAATCTCCGCTGTCAAATGAAAGATTCCTGAGCAGGAGTGAGGCCTTCAAATGTTCTTGCAATGGGCTAACTCAGAAAAATAATGGTCTATTTTTTGAGCTGAGGTTATTGCTAGTCAAACCTATTTGTGTAAGGCAGTGACAGTCATATCATGGGAGTGGACAGAAATGGAAAAAAAATATTTGGAAACTTTCAAATGTTTAATTTGTGTTGCAAAAACCAGTTTAGTTTTTTGACTATCCTGATGGTTTTCTGGTATGTGTAACAGCATACCAACAGAGAAGTTAGATACACTGCAACCTTCCATAAAGAGTATTTTAACACTATTTTTTTCTTAGAATTCAGAATGATGAAACACAAAGCAGGTTGCTCCCTAAAATAGAGGCATAACTTGCCCCACCTTACTCTAGGCTTTTTGTTTGCTGCCTTCATGCTTCCCTAGCCTGCAAGCAGGACCAGGAAACCCCTGAGTATTAAAATGCTAGCTTTACATTTTAATACATTTTCTGTACATCACATTTTCCAGGGCATGACCACAGAGGTACAGATGCCCACAAAACTGTCTAATCAGATGTATAGCTTGGGCTGAATAACTGAAATTAGGAAGTCAAGGCAGACTAACCTATATTATACAGACTTTGCAGTCATCAGCTGGGGAGTTTGCCTGCATGGAAGAGGAGGCAGAGCTGTGCATAAAAATTTCTGTACCTCATGTGGGCACCACCGCTTACCTGACAGAAGACAAGGATGTACCCATTTGTCTGTACCGGTGGTAGTCACTCCATGAAACATAATTAACTGTCACATTTGTTACTATAATGCTATTTTTGTGAATTATGCCCAGTTTGCATGTTAGAGGAAGACTGAATTAAGGGTATAATCCTGCTCCCACTGAAATTATCTACATTTCTGGATTTTGACAAATAAGATCCCCAGAAGGAGGGAGAGATATTTTCTGTGACGTAGATGACACTATTAGAAATCCTGAAGTCCTCGCTCTGTTTTTATGCCAGCCCATGCTCAAGTAAACTCCTACGAAAATCCATCGGACTTTGGGGTTTGGCCGTTAAAATAGACTATGAAATTAATGGCCCATTTGAAATATTAGGATAAGTGCGGTTGACTTTAGGAAAATCCTTTAGTCTGAATACTAACATGCTTCATAGTGTTAGACTCAAGAAGCTCAATTTATTTAGCTTAACAACGATATGGTTTAGGGGTGACTTGATTACAGTCTATAAATATCTTCATGGGGAACAAATATTTAATAATGGGCTCTTCAGTCTATCAGAGAAAGATATAGTGTGATGCAGTGCTGGAAGTTGAAGCTAGACAAATCCAGATTGGAAATAAAGCATGCATTTTTAACAATGAAAGTAATAACTGTTGGAACAATGTACCAAGAGTCTTTGTGGATTTTCTAACACTGACAATTTTTAACTTGAGACTGGATATTTTTACTAAAAGATCTGCTCTAGGAATTATTTTGGGGAAGTTAAATGGCTTGTGTTATATGGGTGGTCAGACTAGATGATCACACTGGTCCCTTCTAGCCTTGGAATCTATGAATAGAAGTTCAGGGTGGTTATTAAATCTAGTTGTTGCTGTGACAACATGTCATACTGACTTCAAATATTTTTTTTAAATTCAGGACAAAGATGGTTTGCATGAAGAATTTATTTACTGTGAAGGGGAGTTTGTTTACATGGTAGCTAAGGAGGACAATGCTAATAATTGATGGGGGAAATGTAACTGGTATGGCAATTGTTTTGAATTAACTTCTTCACTTTAGTTTGACAGGCAAATCATGAATCTTGGAGTTAGATAATTAGCCCATTTAAAAAATCCTTTCCTTTTAGTTGTATTTTAATAACTAGAATAGAGTTTCATGGATAGTGGATTGAGTTACTGATATGCTGTATATAAAGCTTATGAAATATTAATATAAAACTTCAGCATTTTTGCTAGATGTTAATATTGAACCAGCATTTGAAAATGAGGGAATAGTTCAGTGTAAGTAGCTCTTGTAGTCTGATCACAATAAACCCCTGATCCAGTATTTTTGAATCCTTGCCCTTGTTGAGCTAGTATATGAAATTAAGCATTCAGATCTGGAAACTGCAGTCTCTGGAGAATTTTGCTCTTTTGGAAAAGGCTCTCTGCACAATGGAACCATTTTATGTTGCTGGAATGAAGGGCATTTCGGGAAGGTATTTCAATGAAGATACAAAACTATATAGGCCACATAGAGAAAAGTGGGGAGAGAGAGAGAGATAAGGAAAAATATGGTTGAAAAAATGTTGGAGAAACACTGGGCTAGCCCCATTATTTTGTGCTAGGTTGGGTTAAGTAAACCTACAATAGAGAAACCTTTAAAAACTGATTAATGGATTACTATTAAAATGAAGTTGGCACCTGCTGACTTGCTGGATTTTTATATGTAAAAGTGATTTTCTGATTCTGCATGATTCCAGAAACAGCTTTTTAATGTTTTTAAATGTAGACTTTACCTTTCTTTTAATTGAAATTGATTAAACTGAATTTTGCTAGTTTTGTGTGGTCTCATAAAAAGTATTTTTGCATTGGAAATCAGGACTTTTTTTTTTAAATTTTATCTGCTGCATAGGGTAAGTGGTTGATGTAACTTCAGTGTGTAGATTAGCTTCTACTGTTAACATTCTTTTTTATTTCCAGTTGCTGGAATTATTACAGCTGATTTTGCCTCAGGCATGGTTCACTGGGGAGCTGATACCTGGGGTTCCGTTGATATCCCTGTCATTGGCGAGGTAAGGAGAAGTTGACTTGTATTCAGTATGAGCAGTAGACTAGAAATAAATCATTTTAATATGCTTTCTGAAGATAAAAAATCAGGAAGGGTTGTGGGTGTCTTTCTGGTTTTACGCACCCATCCACCAGCAATATCTGGGAACCTTGCCCAAAACTCTTGAGACAGTGTTCATTCTTTCTTATGTATTGAGAAATGGATCTCACTTAAACACTGGCAACACTGTACCCACCCAATAAGAATTATTTTTTTATAAAGTAAATGCTGTAAAAGCGTGAAATTTTAGTGCTCAGGTTATCCATTGAACAAGTTTAATCTGTGACACACAAAATGAAGTTCAGAAAAGCTTATGCACTAAATCTAGGTATTTCTACTATGCCTATTACTACAGTATCCGAGCACCAACGTAACTGTTTAATTTTTAGAAATGCTTATTAGTACCTTATACTGAGATGTGTGGAAGGAGGGGTGTAATTGAGTGATCTCTGTGCAATTGTGTAATATGTTCATTTTTAAAAAATCAGCACTGGAAAAAAACAGCTCTTATAAGAAACGTACATTTTTGTAAGTCTGCAGTTAAAGTCTGAACACCAGTGAAATAAGTTATTTCCTTGTGACAATGCCATATTTAGCACACTAATAAAAGAGGGGAAAGAAAGTGATCTTTGATACGCTAATTATTTTCGGTACTTGCATCAGAGTTTAGTAAATCAGCATGCTACATCTGCAGTGCTAACCAAACTAATCTAAAATACTGGCCTCCCTGTGGAGGTATAGAAATGTCATAGTCCATGGAGACTTGGACTGCATTTATGCAGGTCTGCCTTTTCTGTCATAGATTCAACAGACCTTCCCAGAGAAGATCTACAGTGCTTTAAACAACCTTAACATGGGGTTTAAAGAGATTAATGAATATCAGCCTTGTACTAAATAAATCTTTATCACTTGCTTTACCTACTACAGTAATTGCCTCAGTGCAGTGTAACACATTCAATCTGCCAGCTTGCCGTTAATCTCAAATACATCTTTGACAAAAGAATCCATTTTATCTTCATTTTTGTGTGTGTGTATGTGTGCACACTTGCCAAATCTGGCACTTAATCAGGTCATTGAAATACTATATGAGAAGCTGCTGTGTAATATGAAAATAATATGGTTGATGAGACCATTCGTAGGATATACATAGCAAAAGCTCCATTTTATCCTCACTTAATTTTGTATGTGGTATAGCATATATGTCTGCCTTTCACAAAACAAATTATTAATAGACATAAATGAGGCATGGGCTTAAAATGGTGACATCTGAGGTGTGTACAAATAAATAAAGTGCAAGTATGTGTGTGTGTGTGTGTGTTACACACAGGTACACACACTTCTTAGATATCAACAATTTTGGTCATATATATGAGAGAGATATTAGGCTTTGTGTGCATATTTATGTTTTCATTTTTCCACTCTGACTTCTGATCTGAATTTCCAATATATAAATGCTTATAGTTTTCATTAAGAAAGAGTGGATTATTTTAAAGGACTAGTCTCAAAATTATTAATTGCAATTTAGCAACAGCCAGGAACAATATGTAATAATGTAACTACTTTAGAAGTGTTTTGTAATTAAAATAATTTTACCTTTTTATTTAGCAGAAATGGTACAATTAAATTAATTATGGGTCTCCATCTAAAGTCAGTCCTCTCTAACATTATCTGGTGAATTTTTTTAAATGCATATTATTCATTTACTTATTTATATTTAGCTACTTGGTAGCACTCACAGTATATTTTCCATTTGCAGTGCTGTAGCCAGGTTGGTAACCGGATATTAGAGAGACAGGGGGTGGGTGAGGTAATTCCTTTTATTAGACCAACTTCTGTTGGTGGAAGAGGCAAGTCCCTCAGAATTTGTGTTAACTACTTATGCTAAACAATCTGTTCCACCTTGTGTTTAGCTCTGACACTGAGTTCCTTTCCCAGACCTGAAGAAGAGCTCAGTGTAGTTTGAAAGCTTTTCTTTTTTTATCAGCAGATGTTGGTCCAATAAAATATATATTACCACATCCACCTTGTCTCTCTAATGTATTTTCCAGACATTCAAGAAGTTGAGGGAGATAAGAATGTTTATATTAGTCAACTAGATTCAAGATAGGAAGGATGGAAGAAATGGGTCTTAATTCTGGACATGGAAAGGGCCCTTGCAGACTAGCTTAAATTACCTGCATAGATAGTTGCATGGCAGATGTTATGGAGGTCAGGTGACTTTGTGAGAAGCAGATGGAGATGAGAAGTAATATTGATGGAGTGGATGGTCTGGGGGGTAGTGCTAAACTTGATATAGGTGGATAATTAGGAATGGACAGAGCCTTGAAATAGATGATGAACTTATATCTGATGCAATAGTGGAAGGAATTCATACTGGGGAGTGACATGCACATCAGTTGGATCAAGGGAGATGACTTTAACAGCTGCATTTTGTATGTATTGAAGGAGCAATGTGTGTGTCTTCAACAATGGCCAAGATTTTCAAAAGTGCAGAGCATTCACAGCTCCCCTTGAATTCAAGTCCCTAAAGTTGTTAGGCCAGGGTAAAATCGAATATTGAAATCAGTGGGGAGTGGTTGGGTTACCACTTTTTTTGCAAAATCAAGCTTTTTATATTTTGAAAGTAAGTGTTTTCTGTGTGTGTACAATATACCTGTTAAACTGAGAGGCAGTGTAATCAGGGCACTGGATTGAGAATCAGGTGAACTGGGTTTTATTTCTGTTTCTTCCATTGACTTATTATGTGATCTTGGGCATGTCCCTTTATCTTTCTGTGCCTCATCGTCCATATCTGTAAGATTGAGATTATATTTGCTTTTCTTTTTGAAGTGCTTTGAGATAAGTATGAAAAGATTATGTAAAAATAACTTGTTATTCCTAAATTCTGCAGTACAGCCCTGATTTTTCCCCCCTGCCCTATTATATTCCAAATTTTCTTTAATCTTTGGAAGATAGGCTTTTGTATAAAAGGGATAGAAATGCATTGTGCATAACTATATGAAAGAGCTGTACCATTGTTTTTAACCTGGAATTTCAGATAGCCCGAGGCTGGATAGTTGAGACTGAACTGTGCATTTATTTTAACTGCTCTTGATGGAGGGGTGGGAATTTTCCCTTTACATTTAGGTGATTGTTTTTATATCATATTTCTTGACCTTTCATGGCTGTGTTTGGAGCTTGTGGTTGCTAAGCACTTTTTACCTCCTTCTTTAAAAATCAGTCACAAGACAGTGACCGGTTTGAGACTGTATTTGAGAGGCTGGCAGAGTGGTTGGATTTTTCTCATACTCGCTGCAATCCTCACATATTTTTTGCTGCTGAGCTGCTAAGACCATGACCTATCTGATGCTGTAATACTTCTTCCCTTTTCTCCTTTGACCCATTGTTTTCAGAGTTTCCTTAGAGTCCTGTCGGTGAACCACACATACTGCAGCTTGATGCCTCTGTGTGTAGCTTTTGGGTTTGCCCTTGCTCTACAGTTGACCTTGCAAGGTCTTTCTTTCCTGTAATGTTTATATTTTATTCATTTTCAAGGTAGAGTGCTTACCCTCAGACTTGTTGTTCGCATATTAGTAACAATCTCCATGGCAAAGAAATTTACAGTGAAACTGTAATACTAAGACTGTACAAACACATGAAGCTTAAATGTCAGTCTACCCATTTCTGAGGGTGGATCTTTCTCTCTTACATAATGCCAGAATTGCAACCATTAATTTTACTAATATCTCTGGGGAGGCACATCAGATTACAGGAAGTATTATACCAATATTATCAGAAAGAGATGAGATATTATTTTTGAACCATTTTCCCACTCATAACAACATATTTAGGATCTAGCTAATAACAGGCTTAAACTAGAAGAAGGCAGATAACTATAGAACATTCCAGACTTGGGTGCCTAAATCCTAAATCTGTGTTTTGGAACCTAAAGGAAGGGGGCCTGATTCCCAGAAGTACTCCATTTCTACTGCTTGCATTGAAGTCATTGTGCAGAGGCGGGCATCATTTAGCAATAGGATTGAAAAACTGACATAGAACAGAGGCAGGGAGAGAGAGGTCTCTGACTTTCCTGAAAGACACATTGAACAAAGGGACAAAAGATCTTCCCAGACTCCTGCCTGAAGCATCAAAGGATTAGTCTGAAGTAATACTGGACACGCAGGCCAGGGTGAAGGTCTATGATTTAGTGCCAGAATTTCATAATTCTGTACACACAAGTGCACATGCAATAACAATAATTTCAGATTGCAGATGGGAAATTAGCCCTCTAATTGGCTTATGTACTGACACAGTTGCCAACAATGAGATGAGCAATTATGGAAGGAATCTGGTCCCGAAGATGGACTTGGAGACCAAAATGTTCTAACTTGTCCTTTTAAATTAGGGGTCTGGTTTTCAGAGGTGCAGATGCACAATCTTTCTCCAGTGTTCTCTGGTGCAGTATAGTTTCTTGGTGTCCAACCCCTAACCCATTTTCTAGCAATATAGCCAGAAGCATTCTGGAACTACCCATCCTGCAGATTCCAGAATGGAAATCTCAGTGTTTTAACAAATACAGCTCTTTGTCACATAGCTATGTCTTACAAGAGGAATTTCAGTCTCCTGCCAGCACAATATCACTTGTATATTTTGCTTGCCCTAGCAAGATTGTCCCCCTACCACATCTTACCTTAGTGGTTACTTCTCCTGCAGCTCCTTGGTCATTTTGTTTGTTCACTGTGTCACCTGCATCCTCTCAGGGCACCAGCCAGATCCTATTTTACAGGGACCCAACACGACTCTAGTAAACAGGGGAAAGGGCCTTGGGACCCAACAATGCAAGCTACTGTTTCTCTTTCACTTAAAAAAAAAATGAATTGAAACTAGCCTATGACTTCCCAAGGGTAGCTAATGGGGAAATTTTCAAAGCTACCTCAGAGATTTAAGATCACAAGACCTAGTGAAAGTTAGTGAGGATTGTGCTCC